AAAGTCGGCCGGTCTAGGAGTTGAAAAAGTTCTCAACTAAGGGTGGTTCAATTTAGTAATTTTTTCTCACAATCAACTCAAATCGATTAGTGCACACCGCCATTCACTTAGGGATGGTTTGGCATCTCCTATATAACCTATGTTTTTATTTTTTTTTATCATATTATCTTTCTACTTTTCTGCATATCTTTTCATAAAAAGACAAAAAGTACACTTATTTAGATCATCCCAAACAATCCTTTAGTCTTTCACTTTTTGAAGGTGATTTTTTGAGAAAAGTTTCATTAAAATAAAAGTTATAGAGCACTTTTAGAGTGATTATTTTTGTGACTTGAGTCCACTTAGGTAAAAGAGTTAAAATAAAAAAAAATAAAAAAAATTACTAACATGTCAACCAAAACCAACTTGAACAGTTTTAGAAGGTGAATATGTTGGATTGGATGGTTTTGATAAAAATTTGCAAGTTGGTTAGTCTAGAAGTTAAAAAATTCTCAATTGACAGAAGGTGATTCAGGCAGTTAATAAGTTTTACTATTGGACCACTGGAGTTATATTTGAATTATATTTTTCTTTTTTCTCACAATCAACTCAAATCGATTAGTGCACACCGCCATTCACTTAGGGATGGTTTGGCATCTCCTATATAATTTATCTTTTTATCTTTTTGTTATCACATTATCTTTCTACTTTTCTGTATATCTTTTCGTAAAAAGACAAAAAGTACACTTATTTAGATCATCCCAAACAACCCTTTAGTCTTCCACTTTTTGAAGGTGATTTTTTAAGAAAAGTTTCATTAAAATAAAAGTTATAGAGCACTTTTAGAGTGATTATTTTTGTGACTTGAGTCCACTTAGGTAAAAGAGTTAAAATAAAAAAAAATAAAAAAAATTACTAACATGTCAACCAAAACCAACTTGAACAGTTTTAGAAGGTGAATATGTTGGATTGGATGGTTTTGATAAAAATTTGCAAGTTGGTTAGTCTAGAAGTTAAAAAATTCTCAATTGACAGAAGGTGATTCAGGCAGTTAATAAGTTTTACTATTGGACCACTGGAGTTATATTTGAATTATAAATTTGAATAGGAATTAAAAAAAAAACAAAAAAACAAAGGAGGAGAAATAAAGAGAGAAAAAAAAAATAGACTACTTTATTTATATTGTTTTCTTTTGTTTTTCAAATTTATATCTTAATCTTTAATAAAAATTCTGATGAGGATTTGACCTTTGGTAAATACTTTCTGAGATCATCTCCAACGCTTCATCAAATCTTGCATTAGATTTGAAATTTAGTGAAAAAGTTACTTTTTGCAGCTCTAATGGTTTCATTAAATTGGTATCAAAACGAGAATTCACCAAATTTTTCATCAAAGTGAGAACAGGAGAAAAATTTCACCAATTTACTGTGCATGATTTCCATTGTAAATAAGTTGGTTCAAACAGTTCAAAAGGTTTAAAGAGGTAAAAAAAAAATACACTAATTGGTCGATCGGCCGGTCGACCCCTACTTTGATGACAACCATTAGAACAGTCTGTATCAAATTAAAAAAATAATCTTTTTTTATTTAAATTTAATAAAAAATTTGGTGAACCGTTGAAGATGCTCTCCGGAGAGATTTGACCCATGGTTTGATCACTTCATTGAGGAATTTTAGATTAGACTAGGTGGGCCATTGAGAGAGCTGCCCCAAGCCTCTGGTCTGCAATTACTCTGGAGCTGCTGCACTTCATTTCCAGAAAAATCAACATGCATTTCCTTTCTTTGGCACTGAAACGTCTAATTTGAAAATACTTTCTGAGATCATCTCCAACGCTTCATCAAATCTTGCATTAGATTTGAAATTTAGTGAAAAAGTTACTTTTTGCAGCTCTAATGGTTTCATTAAATTGGTATCAAAACGAGAATTCACCAAATTTTTCATCAAAGTGAGAACAGGAGAAAAATTTCACCAATTTACTGTGCATGATTTCCCTTGTAAATAAGTTGGTTCAAATAGTTCAAAAAGTTTAAAGAGGTAAAAAAAAAAATACACTAATTGATCGATCGGCCGGTCGACCCCTACTTTGATGACAACCATTGGAACAGTCTGTATCAAATTAAAAAAATGATATTTTTTTATTTAAATTTAATAAAAAAATTGGTGAACCGTTGAAGATGAGCTCTGGAGAGATTTGACCCATGGTTTGATCCACTTCATTGAGGAATTTTAGATTGGACTAGGTGGGCCATTGAGAGAGCTGCCCCAAGCCTCTGGTCTGCAATTACTCTGGAGCTGCTGCACTTCATTTCCAGAAAAATCAACATGCATTTCCTTTCTTTGGCACTGAAACGTCTAATTTGAAATTTTCAATCCTTAGGTCTTGTTTGCCAAGTAGTTGTTTTAATTTAAAAATTAAAAAGTTATTAAAAAATTAAAAAAATCTATCACATATATTAAAAAATTAAAGATTCTATTTTATCTCTACTTTTTATACATCTTTTCATAAAAAGCTAAAAAATCATTCCAAACATACTAATTTTTTTATCTTATTTTTTAGTAAAAAAATCAAAAAATTATTAAAATAACATGTTCTCAAACGAGACCTTAATTCACTAGTCAACATAGAGGCGCCGTTTATTTTCAAGGTAGAATTAAAGGGATTGATAATGAGAAGATTAATAGTAAGAGGATTATTAGTAAAGGAATTGATAGTGAGGAGATTAAGTAAAATTGTATTTGTTTTGATGATAGTTAGTGTGTAAATTATTAAATTATTACCCTATAAAAGAAATATAAAATATTAGAACAAATAAAATTATAATTTTTACTTAATAAAAAATACAAAAACATTAATCATTAATGTTCAAAAAAAAATGTCCAACATGTATTGAAAAAAAAAAAAAAAAAACTAAGTCGGAGGGCTAATAAATACCTAATACCACCTTCATCTCCTCCATCCCAATCTCCCCTCCAAGACTCAACATAATCCGAACCTCCATCTCAATTCCCTCTCTATCTCTTTAAACAAACACAATATTAACAACTCTCACCTTCATCTCAATTTCATCCCCCTTTTACCTTCCAAAACAAACCGACTATACCGCAATCCCTCAAGGCAGGTCCTCACATATCACATCATCAAGTATTTGGTCCCTCAAATACAACCATCATTTAATCAAAATATTTATTTTTTATATATAATTAACTAAAAATAATAGTAAAAAATACATTGCATTCACCTCTATAAGAAATGACCATTATGGTAAACCAAATAGTGCACCGTAGTATTATAATATCTATTAATTGGGAAAACATTAATCAATTTTGAATAAGTATAAATGTTTTCCATCAACTCCAACACTAACAAACATTTATCTAGCAAAAATACAAAACAATTAAATACATTTTATTATACGTAGTCACTTAACAATAGTGTCTATTCCAATAATATACTGTACAAATAATGCTAGGTTCATAAAAAAAAATATCAAAAAAAAATATCATCAAATTTTTAAAATAACCTAGTAGGTAACAAAATTTAAGAAAAGACGACTTACCTCAATATATTTTTTTTAATATTTCTTTCGAGATGTACTATTAAGGTATAGTCTACTCCTGACAAAGTAAATAGACAACCTAGTTGGACCTATTTTGTGGTGAGCAATAAGACAAAAAATTCAAGTAAGAAAAGTGATAAGGGGAGAAAATAGTAAAAGATGAGGGGTGAGGGAGAAAACCAACTTTAATAATGAAAAAGTGAAAAAAAATAAAAATAAATTGATATCTAAAAACCTAATGCAACACATGCAGTCCAACAGTGTGATAAAATTGTTGCAAATCTGAGGTAAAATAAAACGAGTAACCTAGATATCCTGGCGAGAATCATATTTTTATCACAAACCATTGATATTTGAACAAAAGAAAAACACATAGTAGAAGAAAGAACAATAGGGAGAACAAAAATAAATAATTAACGTTAATTTGAGCAATGAGAATCCGGTAGTTCCAAGTCACCAACATGGACAATGCTGTTCCTAATATTACAAAAATAGCAACACAAAAAAAAAAAAAAAAAAAAAAAAAAAAAAAAAAAAGACAAAAAAAAGGAAAAGAAGCAGTGATCAAAATACAAAACATTTGTTAGACTAGCATAAACAGGTCCACACAACGGTTACTAGAACGGGAAGCAGAAGTAGGAGATGGTAATGATAACATACAGGTCATGTTTGTTTGGGTGGACATGAGCTTGGGATTGAACTAATAGTCCAACAAAATTATTAATTCGATGTTTGGTTAAACAATTGAAGTACGGACTAATTATTTTAAACTTGACTATTAGTTAAGATAGGATACATAATCCAACGGATTCGTAATCCTAGGACTATTAGTCATGGGAATGCTAATCCAGTCCGCCCAAACAAACATGGCCACATGGTTCAAAATACATAAAATGGAAAATTAGCAGCTCAATAAAATTGGACAATTAGTTGAGTATTCCTTTTTACTCAACCTGTGAATTTCAAAGCAAATGTACAAATCCTTCTTGGACGAGTTAACAACATTGAAAAAACCTCAAGCTAGAGTAAGAGGTGTAAATATAAAACGAAATAATGTTCTGAATAACTTCATACATAATGCTGTCAAGGAAGGGTATTCAGGAAATGGTAATAGAACTTCATAAATTATGTGCTTAATAACATGGAGTTGCATGAAAAAAGAGAAAAATACCAATAGCAGAAGAATGCTAAATTATCCAAAATAAGGAAAGAATTACATTTCATTTTATTTTTAAAGAGCTAGGCAAGGTTTTTGGCGTTATACTTTATAAGTCAGACATGGTTAAGTAGCAGAACAGCATCGACGCAATAAATTCTCAAGACCTGTTCCACCATAACTCTATAACCACCAAGCGTTTAGTTCTTTACAGAAGATCACAAGATATGAAGCCAGTGATGGAAATACCCGCACAATAATTAATAACACAACTGCTCATAAGCTCAATTAGCTACATGCATTGCTAGCATCAAGCAAATCAGAACCATTTATATATTACCACAATCACTATCATAAGCAGATATCACCCACATAAACTGATGGGTTAGTTCAACCCAATACCGATTTTCAAATTGTCAAATCCAAGAAAATCACAAGTTCAACACTTCTAGTTTCGTTAGTCCATTGTGCACCAATAAAGTAAGTAAATTTGAGATACATAGAAAATCTGCCAGCAGCAAGGCAGAGCAATATCTAATATCATTTATTATCAGCTGGGAAAGGATTAAAACCACCCTGCAGCATAGTTTCTAGTGGTCCAAACAGTGGTTTTGGGAACTTGTTCCAGTCATACCAATCCCAGCCACCACATTTCTCAGGCTCTAGATTTTGGGGTACTTGATGAGGATCAGCCAAGACTGCACGCATGAAAATGCAAACAAGATGTACATGAGGTTTTCCGTCCTCAGAGAAGAAGTTGTTGGTTGCAGTTAAGAACTCTATCTTCTCAATGTCTAAACCAGTCTCCTCCTTCATCTCTCTGGCAGCACATTCCTCAAAGCTCTCCCCTGATGCCAAATATGTGAAATAAATATAGATAAGTAACCGAGTAATCCTAGAAATCATGGAGTGCATTACAATCATTGTTGGTATGAAAAATGTGGGAATAAGTATTAGGTTGAGAATCCAATATTTCCCATGGAGTACTTGTATCTAAAAGTCACTCCTACCCACCAAAACACAGACCCCCTTGAGGACATAAAATCTACTGCATCTCATTTGAGAACCCTTATTTCAAAAAAACATGAAGTAAATGGAAGAAAAAGAAAAAGGAACAGCTCATGATCAATATTGGATTGACTAGAACTGGGCTTAAATAACATTTAAACTGTTTTTCCTTTCAAAAAAAGAAAAAAACTTCACAGCAAGGATTAACCTAATTTCCTACAATTTTGCCTTGACAGATTGCTTGTTTGGTGCATACAAGAAAAGGTTTCATGATGCATGATTTATGTTGATGACAGTTCCACAAATTAAGAAATAAATAAACAATATAACAAACACATAAGCACACAAGGTTTTTGATACAAACCACTTGGCTAGAACTCACCCTTCAAAATCTGCTTGCATGATGAGGGTGTCCAAGATGCTTATATACACCAGGTCAAGATCTCACTTTTCCAATATGGGACAATGTAAGGATTGTAATATACAACCACACAACGCAACTGACGTCCATGGCGACCCACTCTATTGCCACTGACCCAGTAATAGCCCTTTTCCTTATTGGGATGGCAGCTATACTCAATTATCTGTATTCAACTCACTTACCCTTTTGGGAGCTACACTCAACTATGTATTCAACACCTTAGCAGGTATCTTAAACCAGTCTATAAACCGCACTCTCTGCAACTCAAACTGCCAAGTCGCAGCCCATCCGATCCTATAATGGACATGATGGCAGGCTAGCTCTGATATCAAATTATACAATCTCTTTAAATAAAACTCAACCTTGAAAACATACTTGCACAAAGAAGGCGCCCAAGAGACTTATATTCACGTGGTCAAGCTCACTTTTCCAGTGTGGGCAATGTAAGAATCGTAACAAACTGAGTATAGTTCGGCTATTAAGCCTACATCTATTGGGATTATGTCTACTACAGGCCTACTTCCTTCAATAAAGGAAGTAGGGTTTGTTCGCTTTTCTGCAGCCATCTTTGCCACTCATGTGGTGCTTTGAAAAATGGAGAATCCTAGCACACATTGCTAGATAAATTAATATGGGTCTTCTATTAAAGAAAGTTAAAAGGAGTAATAAATAGAGGAATATGATGGTAAGTCGAAATACCACATTTATGATTTTGTCTTCTTGCATGTGAGGGGCATCAGATAAAATGAATCAATAATGTGGGTAGGCCACACAATTGGTGGTCTCAAGATGAAGAAAAATGAATTGCCACACACAAGGTATGCAATTGTGGGCATTAGTGATGATGCAGTTGGTGTTTAGCTGTAAATATACATAGCTTGATGGGAATTTGGATTGGTGTGCCGTAAGAGTGAAGACAACAAAGGGTGTTGCAAGGGCAACCAAATAAGCTACAAGTAGCAGCAAGGGAGATGAATAAGAACGTGCATGATAGACATACGAGGGGTGATTCTATTTACACGACTTTAACTCATTACACCCTTGATTTTAATTACAATTTATCCCTTTATAAAATTAACTTTAAAGACTAGAAACATAAAAAAAATGTAATAGAATTTCTTTTTACACCCACTCATTTCTTCTCCTTCTCAACCACCATCACCTTTCTTCTCCACCAACTATCGCCACCCCTTTTTCTCCGCCAACCACCGTCACCCTCTCCCCCTTATCTCACTCTTTCGACCCCTCTACAACACCCAACACCACCACCACAAGAATATCAAAGAGAAAAAACTTGTAATAATTTTTTTTTAATAAAAATAAAATCATAGTTACAATATATATGCGATAATTGTAAATAAATTATATACAAGATTTTAGTGTATAGAGATGTTTTAGTGTGATTTTCTTTCATTTTGATGTAGTTCCATGCCACTTGAAAAAAAATGGAGTCAAAACCTCGTTCAACTCTTGTTCACCAAAGAAACCAAAATTGTTCAGGTTACCGAACATATTAAGTTTGTTCGGACAACTAAGGCCGAACATGACTATTTTCTCTAATTTTGGTTTGTTAGGTCGGCCAAAGCCGAACAAACTTGATTTGTTTGGCAATAAGCGGGTGCAAATGAAGATTGTTCAGCCTTGGTTGGCTGAACAAAACTCAAACGTAGAAAAAAAAAAGAGAGAAAAAAGGAAATTCTTAAGAAACCATTTTTCATGTCAAATACCACCCCAACTCCCCTCCATTGTGACTGTGTCACTGTTATCCTTGATGTATAAATAAAAAATATATTTTTTTAGGTTGCGTCTTAGTTGGTTCAACTTATAGCAACCGCGGATGTTATTGAGGGTAATTTTAAGGGTGATATTTTGGCAATTTTAAAATAATTTATTAGTAAAAATAAAATAATATGATAGATTTTTTAAATATTATTTTTAAATATATTCATAATGATTGGTAGGGATTAAATTTTAATTGATTGAACAAATTAAAATTTATACCACATGTAAGATTTAATAATACATGTAACCATAATAATAATGCGGAATTAAACTTTACAAGATCTTGAATTCAATACAACTCAAGAATAAAACGAACATACCTTTGTCAGCCATTAAATTAGAGAAGTTGAGAAAATACCCCTTACAGTTGAACCTTTAGATTTTGGCTCACCTTCTTCTCTCTGTCTCTCTTAATTAGGATGACTATAAAACTTAAAGTGATGGAAAAATACTCATGATATGAAAGGGGAGTCACCCATCCTTATATAGAGGAGAGAAGAGGGCCAGATAAACTCTATCAGAAGAATTCCTAATCCATCAAGGTTTCCTTCTTATCTTAGAAGAGTGATTATATTAAAATTCTATTTACTGAACTTGATCTCAAATATTGGCTTTATCTATTTGTGGAGTCCAAATAAATTAAAACATGTAGAAAATATGTAGGCTATTGGGCCACACTAGAAAAATAAATCCAACATTCTCCCACTTGGCCCATTAAGCCGATTATGATGCAATTATGAGTTTTTTCAAAAATATGCAACTTAAAAAATTTTGACTCATTGGATTCCACACTAAAAACTTTGACACGTGATCACGAATTTTTAAAAAATAGCCAATAAGTTCAGATATATTAGAAACTATAATACTGTGATTACTTCAGATCACCAATGTGAGTCATAGCGGTTATATAACATTTATGTCATATTTCCTTCTATGTACCACACCATTGATAACCTTCGCCAACCCAGTCCTTTATCGAGATATATAATTATTTTCCTGAAAGGCCCCTGTAATTTGTCTTGTTAAGACATTCTTTCTTCACATGTCCCTTCTTGCCACAAAAGTAGCACTTGACAGTGAAACCATTCTTAGCCTGTTTTTCTTCCCCAGGTTCATTCTTTTTCTTTGGTGGATTTTTCTTTGATTTTACAAACTTACCCTTCTTTTTCTTTATAGCTCCATGAGTTACAGCCAATGCAGTTTGACGTCCTTCCTCCCTCAACCTCACTTCCTCCTGAACACACATATTAGTCAGCTCATTCAAATTCCACTTATCTTTATTGGTGTTATAGTGAATTTTGAATGCGCTGTATTGTGATGGAAGTGAGTTGAGAATAAACTGTACGAGGAAAGTTTCATCAACTTGCATTCCTAAAGTTTTAAGCTTTGCAGCTTTGTCAGCCATATTGAGGATGTGATCCTGAACTCCTCGGTTGCCATCATATTTCATTGTTGTCAATTCAGCCATAATAGTGCCAGCAAGTGACTTGTCAGCAGATCTAAATCGATCTTCAACAGCCTTTAAGTATTCCAATGCATTAACAGTTTGAGGTAAGGAGGTCTTGATGTTATTTGCAATGGTCATCTTCATGAACATCAAACTGAGTCTATTGGACTTTTTCCAGGATTCAGAAAGGGCAACTTGTTCTGCAGTACTATATTCATTAATGTCTGCAGGTTTATTTTCAAGCAATGCCATATCGAGGTCCAACACACCCAGTGTAAACTGAACATGTTCATACCATTCCGAAAAATTCGAGCCAGTAAGTAGAGGGACGCCCGATGCAAGAGAGTGCAATGAAGTGGGAACTTTTACTGAAATAAGATAGAGCAATATACATATTAAAGCTTTGAGAATTATGATGAACTATTGATATCACATAAGTTTTTCCTTTGGGCAAAACTTAGGTATATCTATTGTCCATTCGTCAAGAATCACTTATGTAGGTCTAAAGTAATTTATACAATTTTTCAGCTAGTCATGTTACCTTTGGCTATTCAATTCTAATCTTTCAAATTACATAAGTTACATTATCCTACCCAGTTCATAATTATTTGAAAATGACTCTCCTTTGGGCTAGTCTCAATCTCCTAATTATAACTGCAATTGAGAATATTATCGACCTTAATGTTACCCTTTTTAACAATTCTTTTATGTAGTTCTATATTCATAAGTTTTACAAATCTAGGCCACTTTGGCAGCTACTAAATTAGTGAACCCTATGAATACGGAACTAACCAACAATATTCTCTATTCATTAATTTTGAGTTATTTAATTATCATTAATTCAATCACAATTTTAATGAGATCACTATTTTTATGATTTCTAAAATTTCTTTTATGTGATTGCTATTACCAATATAAAAATAATAACTCTGGATGAACAGGAATATTTATATATGTATTATAACAATCATGAATATCTAAAATAATGGTTAATAAGAATTACACCTAATATGAATTAACCACTTTAATATTTAATATTCAATGTCATAAAATTATATCATGATATCAATTTTAAATCATGAAAATATATAAATATTTAACAATAATAGACAATAAGTGTGCATAATTAAACAAAGCAAAAACATAATCCTCTAATGTGATACAATCAAATAAATATATTTAAGGGTTGTTTGGCATAGACTATATAATCCATCTTTTTATCTTTTTATCTTTTTTCCATCACATCACCTCTCTACTTTTCTGCACATCTTTTCGTAAAAAGACAAAAAGTGCACTTTTTTAGGACACTCCAAACCAACCCTTATTTAATAGTCCGAACGATTCAGCAAAATTCTAAAATTGCTTTTAATCTATGCACTTTATTATAACGGCAAGCAATACACTCAATTCAATAACATATTATGATGATTATAAAAATTATTATCACTAAAATTGATAATAAATCAAAACATGTATATGAACAGCATATAGAATTACATAAAAGTTTGCACCTAACAAATCACAAAACAAAGTGAGTGGACTGTACTGTTATTTAGGTTAGGACCTAACAGATCATGTTGTCTTGTAAGTGAGGGAGTCCATGATGTGCATACTTAGTGGAGTGCACATCACATGCCAACAGAGTTCAAACCTTATAAATAAAAGTATGTTTTTTTTGTGAATAATTATAATTATAATATAATAACAATATTCATAAATATATTATTATTCCAAGGTGTATTGATTCACAAACTAAAGCTCTGATACCACATGTAAGATTTAATAATACATGTAACCATAATAATAATGCGGAATTAAACTTTACAGGATCTTGAATTCAATACAACTCAAGAATAAAACGAACATACCTTTGTCAGCCATTAAATTAGAGAAGTTGAGAAAATACCACTTAGAGTTGAACCTTTAGATTTTGGCTCACCTTCTTCTCTCTGTCTCTCTTAATTAGGATGACTATAAAACTTAAAGTGATGGAAATATACTCATGATATGAAAGGGGAGTCACCCATCCTTATATAGAGGAGAGAAGAAGGCCAGATAAACTCTATCAGAAGAATTCCTAATCCATCAAGGTTTCCTTCTTATCTTAGAAGAGTGAATGAGAGAGGAAGAAAAAGGGGAGTAAAGAGAAGCTGCAAGGTTAGGGATGAGGGTATGTTCAGTATTATGGAGGGTGTATGTAAACAGATACTTTTCAAATTTCTTCATATGGCATAATTAGAAATTAGGAGTAACAAGATAAAACCATGGTGTATATAGAATCACCTAGATATGAGGGGTGTGAGATGTCAAAATACCAGAGAATGGGAAGCCTATAGGGTTTAGGGCTCAGATACTCAATTACCCTTGAGTAGGTGTCTCAGGTTGGTTTTTGGGTTTTTTTTTTTATCCCACCATTGTATTCTCTATTATTCATAGTCAATTCACCTCTCTCCTCATGGACATAGACATTTTTTCTGAACCATGTTAAATATCGTATTTTTCTCTTTCGTGTGTGTGTGTGCAAATTTATTTTGGACATGCTGCCACAGAATAAGGGAATATTTTTCACAAGTTGTATCATAGTTTTAGGTAGGTTTACAAGAGTTTGTTTACAAAAAGCTTATTAGACCATTAAACTCTAAAACCCCTGACAATAATCCTAGAACCTCGCCATTTTCCCATTTGTCAGGCTGTGAATTAAGGTCACCACCAATGGTTATAAGCACAATCAGGTTGAAATCGAGACACCCACCTACCACACATAGTTTTAATTGATTCCAAAGATCATGAATTTAGTTGACGATCCAAAAAAATAAATAAATAAAACATTGGCCTCTGTCATTGTTTTGAAAGACATGCATTGAAAATAAATCCAATTGCATTTTCAATAAGAAACATTTGACACACTGACACCCTCTGATGTTTCAATTTAATACAGATTCCTCCCTAACATTTTAGAAATTACACTTTCCTCCCTATTAGTGTTTGTTTTTTAACAGAGGTAATGGGAAAAGTGTAATGACACTGATACCCTCCACTAAAGATATTAATTTATGAAATTAATATCATCTTCTCTTCCCGTTTCATTTTTCTCTTCTACTCTCAATTCTAACAGCAGAGTGGCCCTCTCACCGCCACACTATGGGTTTATATCGGTGACCCACCTCTCCAATTCCCATAAAGAAAAAAAAAAAATCAGAAAGTATGCTGAATATAATATCAATGGTCTAGATTTATTAAAAGTATGGACTCACAACACTTAGGTGGTGTTTGATAAAGCTGAAAACTAAAAATTAAAGAATTGAAAAATGAAAGCTGAATTTGTTAAACTAAAAAGTTGTTTGATGGTAGTGATAGTAAAATGATCGTGGTGATTATGATAATAATGACAATGGTGATGAAAGTTATGGTGGGAGTGGCGGCATGATGGTGGTGGTGGTAGTGGTGGCGATGGTGGTAGTGGTGATGGTGACGGTGGCATAGTGGTGGTGGCGGTGGCGGTGGCGGCGGCGGCGGCGGCGGCGGCGGTAGTGAAATGATGGTGGTACTTACGGCAACAATAACAAATCATATCACTTCAAAAGTTTCAAATTTTTAGCCTACATTTTAAGAGGCACTTAATTTTTTAAATGATATCAACCGTGGTTATCAAAAAGGCTTAACTAATTATCAATTATTACATTCAATTTTAAGGGTTGAATTAGGTTACCAAACACCACCTAATTTGAGAAATGAAAACAACCGAGTTCTAGGCCACCAAATCAGCACTACATACGACTTGAAAGGCAATGAGGAGACAAATGAGCAGTACATATATATACAATAGCAATATTTTAAAAGGCGCACCTAAGCGCGAGGCACAATAAGGCACAGCCTTGTGCTTCGAACAAGTCGAGGCAAGGCGCAATATGCAAGGCGCAACTTAAGCGCTGAGGTGAGGGCTTTTTTTTCGAGGCATGAGACGTGGGCTTCATGAGCTTTGCCTATTTTTCTACTCTAATTGTTGATGAAGTGCTTTTTTGTGGGCATACCCACAAGGATTCAAAACTCTTCAAGATAAAATGACCAGACAAATAATAACGAATTTGCCTTGGCGGTGCGGTTTGGTGCGGTTTTGGCGGTTTCGGCGGTTTCGGCGGTATTATGCACACCCCTAGCGGTGGCGGTGGCGGTGGCGAAAAGTTTATAATAATATATATCGATACTTATGTTTAATATTTTATAAATTCAATCAGAATTAAGTAAATTTTATATGATTTATAATTTTTTTAAGTTTTAGTCTATATTTTAAAAGCCACTTAAATTTTTAAGTAATATCAATTGTGAATATCAAACAGACTTAATTGATTATCACTTAATCAATTCAGTTTTAAGTGCTAAATAACGTTATCAAACAACTCCTAACTTCAAATATGAACCATAGATTTGATATTCTTGATTTTTTTCTGATTCCACTTATGGGATTGTAGAATTTTTTTTTTTGAATGCATGTCAAGTCAACGTAGGGCGGGGTGCAATATTTTAGAATTTTTTTTTTCTTTTTTAGGGACTATTAAATAGTTGGTATTGTTAAAGTAAGGTAATTAAAGCATTGTAAGGCTGTGGTTGGTTTATTTAATGAAGAGTGGTATGGAAGGAATGAATGGAATGAGAAAGAAAATGATGGATAAAAAATCAAGGGTAAATATGGTATTTTAAAAAGAATTATCGCTAACATAAGCAAAAAATTGTTTGTTAACTTAACAGTCAACTAACAGAGGAGACAATTGGTAATGCTACTTTAAACCTTGTGGCGGGGGTTGTAATTTTCAAAATGTGAGGGGAGAATTTGTATTAGTTGCAAACCTCAAGGGATGTCTTAAGAAATCATTTTTCATGTCAAATACCACCCAACTCCCTCCATTGTGACTGTGCCATTGTTATCCTCCTCTATAGTGATAGAAAAAGATAGGAAAAAGAGAAAGGGATGGAATGAGAGAAGAAAAAGGGGAGTAAAGAGAAACTGTAAGGTTAGGGATGAGGGTATGTTCAGTATTATGGAGGGTGTTAACAACTACTTTTCAAATTCAAATTTCTTCGTATGGTGTAATTAGAAATTAAGAATAATGAGATAAAACCATGGTGTATATGGAATCACCTAGATATGAGGGGTGTGAGATCTAAAAATACCAGAGAATGGGAAGCCTATAGGGTTTGGGGCTCAGATACTCAATTACCCTTGCGTAGGCGTCTCAGGTTGGGTTTTGGGTGTTTTTATCCCACCATTGTACTCTATTATTCATAGTCAATTCACCTCTCTCGTCATGGACGTAGGCATTTTTTCTGAAACCATGTTAAATATTGTATTTTTCTCTTTTCTGTGTGGGTGCACAAATTTATTTTGGACATGCTTCCACTGTATAAGGGAATATTTTTCACAAGTTGTATCCGAGTTTTAGGTGGGTTTACAAGAGTTGGTTTACAAAAAGCTTATTAAACCATAAAACTCTAAAAAGCCCAACAATAATCCTAGAACCTTGCCATTTTCTCATTTGTCGAGTTGTGAATGAAGGTCACCATCAATGGATTATAAGCACAATTGGGTTGAAATCGAGACACCCACCTACCACACAGAGTTTAAATTGATTCCAAAGATCATGAATTTTGTTGAAGATTCAACCAAAAAAAAAAAAAAAAAAAACAAATTGGCGTCTGTCATTGTTTCGAAAGATATGCAGTGAAAAAAAATCCAACTGCATTTTCAATAAGAAACATTTGACACAACAAAACAATAATAATCACCTGGACAAAACGGGATAAACTCTTCTCCATACTTACGAGTCTCAATTCGGACTCATTTTATTATCCAAACCGCCTACTTTATAAGCTTTACAGTAAAATTATTCATACAAAAAATTAAATTTATCGGACAACTATAAATGCACAAACCAATCAAATTTTATTTTACAAAATAAATGAGCTTATCCCGGACAAAACACAATAAATTTCTCAGGTTATTGGTCACTTTGGGGACCCAAAAAACCCTACTAAACAGAGCATTGTCTAAAAAGTAGTGAAATTAATTAGGCCCAAAATCAAATGTATTGAGGGGAGAGGGAGAGAGAGAGAGAGTAACTGACCAAACTCAAGGTGGCCGCCGGGGAGAGCAAAAGTATTGTAGCCGATGGAGGTGAGCCTTCGCCCTAAAAGCACTTTCCTCCCGTCCTTCACCAAAACCACCGCCACCCCAACCTTCGGCGTCGGCGTCGGCGTCGGCGGCTGCGGCTGAGACTTGCTTTCCATTTTTTATGACTAGTTTTTAGACTTGAGATTAGACTGTGTTTGCTATTGGAGGAGAGGATATTTATATGGTATGTGAAGAGGTGAGGGTATTTAAAACGACGACGTCTGATGCAGTAATTGCCACGTGGTAGTTTTTGATTTCCCGCCTTCAAGAATGTTGATTGGGCTACAAGAAACTTGGGCCGCAATTCAACGTCCCAGTCCAAATGGTAGGCCCATGATGCGTCTAATTTGCCTTTTTCGCTTCTGGACAGTGATCGGGTTAAGTGTGTGAAAGTGAAACATTTGCAAGTGTCTTATACGAGCGAGAGGTCCTGTTATAAGTGGGGACGAAATCAATATTTTATTATCGGAAGGGTCGAAAAAAAATTCACTATGTATATAATCAGTGGAACTAAGAAATTGAGTTAGTGGGGACTTTATTAATTATAATTTTTTATTTAAAATAAAAATTATGATCATTATTAAAATAATAATAATTTTATGAATTAAATTTAAATATAAAAAGTTAAATATTTATTATTAATAGGAACAAATTAAAATTCTATAATAGTGTAGAATAGCTTGGTATCGAATGATGATGTAAGTTTGTAATTTTAGTACAAAAAATTATGGATCAAAATTCTTAATTTTAAACAATAAAAACACATTATTTATAGCACAAATTATTATAAAATCTATTTAATTTTTATTTGACACAAAAATATATAAAGATATGTTTTGAATAAAAATTATTAAACAGTTTTAGAATATCATATAGCATTGCCTACGTGATGCTCAAAGTATGGGAAATCACAAATCACACTAAGTAGTCAGTCAACTGTCTGAAAATAATGAGTTCATTATATTCAATCTACAAGATTTTTCGCTATACTATTAGTCTAAACTACTACATAAATAATAACACATAGTGCTATCAAAGTATCAAATAATTACTTGTTGTTAATAATACAATAAATCCTTAACCAAAAAACATGTTAAGAAAAAAATACATATTGTATATGACAACAATACACCCAAAAAAAAAAATTCAAATTGAAGGGGGCACATGACCCCCCTAGCCCTTCTTTCCCTCTGCCTCTATATACAAATATAGATACATATATATATTATACATAGAAAAAAAATTAAATAATATAGAAGCAATCTGTAATAGAATGAAAAAGTTTTTTGTACAAAATAGAAAAAGAATAAAAGATGAGAGAATAATAAAATATTTATTTTTATACTGTAAGGACATTTTATATATAAAATATTATATATATTTTTAAAGTACTATGACAAATAGTATTTTTTACAAAAACAAGAAGGTCATAGCTCTCCATAATCTTCTTCTAGTTCTATCCTCGCTATTGATTTTTGTCTTTTCATAAACAAGTCAAGAAGGCAACCAAAAAATAAATAAAAATAAAAATAAAATGAAAGTTATACTCAAAATAACCCTTAGTCCCACAAGTGTTATTAATTCATCATTGAAAGTTGGTTCTGTCAAAATCATAATAAAAAAGATTTGTTGTGACGATTTTATGAATTTGTTACTAAAAATTGATAATTTGTGATTTTTTTGATGACGATTTTTAAAATTTGTCACTAAAAAATGAAAATTAGTGACGTTCTGTAACAATTTTCTAAATTTGTTGTTAAAAAAGACAATTAGTGACATTTTTTTTGTGACAAGATTTTCAACTATTACTAAAAACTAACAATTAGTGACATTTTTTTTATAAAAACGTTACTAAAAAATAAAAAATATGATTTTGTGATAACAATTAAAAGTGAATAAGATTTTTTGGTGGACCAAAAAGTCAAAAGAGAACTTATTAGTGTATACATATTTTTAATAGGACTTTTCAGTCATTTCCCCATTTTATATTTAGTTGGATTTTTTTAAGCTAAAATTTGAATTTAAAAAAATTTGAGGAGTTTGAGGATAACCATGAGTTTCTTTTAGATTATTGAGCTATTAATTTTTTAAAACTCTCGATGTATATCATTTATGGAAGAGTCTTACTAACAACTATTCCTAAGATACAAGTAAAAGACAAAAATTTCGAAAATTACAAGACACTTTTCACTACATTCAATGCAATTTTATTGAAATTAATACACTTTTTGATAGTTTTACATATTTTCAAGGCATTTTATACATATTTTTCAATATTAAACAATGCATAGGGATAGTTTTTACCATTTACCTTCATGAAAAATATTAGATCAATTCAATAATTGTAACCGTTTCATTTTATTATGTGTCTCTGAAAAAATAGATGACGAAATAAAAAAATAATAATTATCAAATTAACTTCTTTTTTTTTATATGAATGATATACACGAAAGGCTCTGCAAAATGAATATTTTGGATCATTTGAAATTGAACCCATGATTGGCTCCCACAAGCCTCTCAAATTCTCTCAAGTTTATATTTGAATTTGAGAGAAACCCAACAGTTTAAACGAGTTATTTATAATTATTTATTTTTTTTACATTTTGAAAATTTTTGTCAAACTATTTCGTACAGTTTTTTTCTTATAACTTATTGGGCAAAAATACTTTAAATAAATTGATTATTTAAAAACAAGAGGAGCGGTATTTATAACTTTTACTTTATGATTATCAATTAAAAAAAATAAAACTATACCTAACAGACTCATCAATGACTTTTTCACTGATCTTCGGTTGGTGATTGTAGAGCTGTTGTTGAAACTTAGTGGTGGTGTTGACAAGTTCACAACATGTAGAAATCACAACTGTTGATTGTGTTCTTAATGGCCTTTAGTGATTGAGAGGGAATAAAAATAACCACAAAAATTGTGGGTCTAGGCATTGCTATGTGGTATGATTATGAATTATCACATGTATGATAGTTGTCAAGTTCTTATCAAACACTGTATTAGTGTTTTATGTTATGCAAAACTCATCAGGATATGAAATCTTATCGATATAGAAGTCTTAAACAACTAAAGATTGTTTGGGATAGGACTTCTGGAACATTCAAATTACTTGCTAAGTAAGTCACTGAATATTATAAATAGGCAACACCCTCAGGGATTGAGGTACGTAATTTCTCTATATGAATTAGTCCATTAAATATTTTGATAATATTGGAGGACTAACTTGAGCGTCGAAGAGTCCCCGGCTACGATTGGGGGTGTTTTGTCTTGCAGATAGCGATAGCGTGGTGGTGCTGATCATCTTCTTTGTTGAATTTCTTTATCATCAAATACAGTATTTTTTTTTTATGTCCGTACAATTGGCATCGTCTGTGGGAAACAATGAAATTCAACAAAGATAACTAATAAATCGTGGTAAACTTTCTTGGAGGGCTTTGTTCATGATAGTGGTTGTTTTTGACCGATTATATACTTTTATGTTGGAGTTCATCAACAACAAAAACAAATACAGTGTTCTTGTATAAACATTCTTTCGAATCTACATGGATTTAAGCCACTGCTTTTATAATGGTCATCATTCATTAAAGGCTCTGTCAAAGATTTGTTATCTCAATATATATAGTATAATGTGTTTATGCGGATATGATGAAAAGCGATGTTCGCAAAGTCACATGCAACCAGTTTCAAGATTTTGTTCGTACACACTCGTTTTTGTTTTCCGAAGTTGCTTCTAGGCTCGGTGTAAAGTTAATCGTACACATAAGAGGATTGACACAACTCAATGAAGGAAAGAGAAATAGATGAGTTGCGATATTGTTAAATAAATCAAAATATAAGTCATTGCAAAAAGATAGTGGCTTCCTAGCAAGATATTATATTGAATTTTTATTATTTGCGGAATATGAATTTTATGCATTATTACTTTGCGGATGAAGATATTTTATTATGTATTATGCTGAATTTTGATTATTTATGGAGCATGGAGTTCATGCATTATTATTTTGACCACGAATACATGGAAGATCAAATTATTATATCAGATTTTTATTATTTGAAAAATATGAGTTTTTATACTGAACGCGGATGAAGACTATTATTTGGGTCAAATATGCTGAGATGGAGTCCGCGCTTTATGGATCATGGGGGCAATATGAATTACACTACCCTTTGGTTACAAATTTTCTATCTTTGCCAAGCTGGTTTGGGCAAGAGATAAGTTGGTAAGTATGACTAACTTGAAAAATCTGTGTTGAGTGGGTTTTGCTTGGTGAAGTAGATTGGCAGATTTAACCAATTTTGAAAATCTTTGTCGAGCAAAGTAAGTAGGCAGGTTTGACCAACTTGAAAAATCTTTATCGAACGGGTTTTGCATGGTGAAGTAGATTGGCATGTTTGACCAATTTTGAAAATCTTTGTCAAACAAAGTAGGTTGGCAGGTTTGACCAACTTAAAAAATCTTTGTCGAGCGGGTTTTACTGGGTAAAGTAGATTGGCAAGTTTGACTAATTTTGAAAAACTTTGTTGAGGAAAGTAGGTTGGCAGGTTTAACCAACTTGAAAAATCTTTGTCGAGTAGGTTTTGCTTGGTGAAGTAGATTGACAGGTTTGACTAATTTTGAAAATCTTTGTCGAGCAAAGTTGGTTGGCTGGTTTAACCAACTTGAAAAATCTTTGTCACACGGGTTTTGCTTGGTGAAGTAGGTTGGCAGGTTTGACCAACTTTGAAAATCTTTGTAGAGCGGGTTTTGCTCAGCAAAGTATGTTGGCAGGTTTGACCAACTTAAAAAATCTTTGTCAAGCGGGTTTTGTTCGACAAAGTGGGTTGGCAGGTTTGACTAACTTTGAAATTTTTTGTAAAGTAGGTTGGTGGTTTGTCCAACAGTGGGATTCCTTGTCGAGTGGATTTTGCTTGCCAATAAGCAAGTTGGTGTTTTGATAAGTCCTAACGAGGTTAGGCATTCTTGGAATAAGTCCTAACAAGGCATTTTCAGAATAAGTCCTAACGAGGTTATTCTTGGAATAAATCGCAGCAATGTTAGGCATTTTCGGAATAAGTCCTAACAAGTTTAGGCATTCTTGGAATAAATCCTAATAAGGCATTTTTGGAATAAGTCCTAACGAGGTTAGGCATTCTTGGAATAAGTTTCA